GTGTCCTTTAAGAAAATCACACAGTTTTTATGTGTCTATGGATTATTATTATTTTTTTGGTAATTCAGTGGGGACAACAGGCCCCCACCTGTTTTTTAAATAGATTGGGAGGGATTACATTTTGAAAGCATTAATTGGAGGTGTTAGCGGTAGGAATGGATACCACGACGTGGTAATTAGGTGTGAGGATGCTACAACCATAGGCCCCTTAATAATTTATTTTTGAAGTATATTTTGATCGTAATTTTTGGAGAATATATAATCTTTAACATGACAATTATTAATCTGTAAAAAAAATTAAAAAAAAACTAAAAATGACATTTTTTGGAGAAATATATATGCAGTTAATTTTAGTTTTTCTTTGGAAGACTACTATTTACGGGCCCGGTTTCGGTGGACAGTGTTGATCTCCGAGCCTGCAAATAACTTGTACGGGCTTGGACGCCCCCAAACAATTTTCCTCAAGAAAAAGCTACTTTTTGTGAAAGAACAAGTTCCAATTCCTGAATATTTATTCTGAAATTGAACTTGGAACGGTGGAGTATGGCCACCAACAGGGCAAACATGTTGCATCTATAAAGAAGCGTACACATTCACCAATAATAAAGTAAATATCTTAAAAAATAAAAATATGAAAAGCATTCGAGTCACGTTTGGCGTCAATGGTTTAGAATAATAAAGAAAAGTATGATAGAGACGGCCTGGACTAACTTTTTATTCTAAATACCCTTTGAACTAGGATTATTTTCTATACTGCACTCATGCTTTTTCACTCGGGGAAAAAGTTTTATATAAGATCTCCACCTTATACTGTAGGGTAAGGTGTACTTAAAAAATCTATCGGCAAAGGTTGTTTTTATGCTGAAAAACCCTCAAATTGATCATTTCAACATTAAAATTCATCGATATAAAAAAAAAAAAGTGGATTTTTAATCTTAAAAATAGTTCATCTTCTAGTACATTATTTAGACTGTTCATTTTCAAAATTTTCAGGTGTTTATAGATATACTTGATCGTCACTATCTATGGACCTTTAAATTTCATAATGGGGGGGCCATAATAGATTTTCATATCATCGCAAAGCTTTGTGGCACTGAAATTGCATTTTCGATATAGTTTTGAAGTGTTAAGGTTGACACCTTATATAAAAAGGAGAGGTTTATAGTTACGGTGAACCTCAAAACTATACTGAAATACAGTTTTTATGCGGTAAAAGCCTTGCATTTTTTGTGGGGCAAAAGCTTTGCGATAATAAGAAAATCTATTGATGTCTTCAGTTATGAAATTTAAAGTTCTAAAAATTGTGATGATCGAACAAATTTATAAATATTTGAAAATCTTGAAAATTGACTGTCCAAATAATGTGATAGAAGATGAACTACAGAAATCCCTTTTTTTCATGTCTATGAATCTTGGGGTCGAGATGATCGATTTGATGGTTTTTCATAATAAAAACAACTTTCTCTAATGGGTTTTCTTGACGCACCTTATTCATACAGTATAAGGTTGATACCTTATATAAACTTTTTCCTTTATTGAATGGCAATCAAAAGTGACTAAGTTTGCTCTTTAGTATTTTTAAAATAATTCCTTTCAACTTTAATTTGGCCAAACATAATATTCCCAGCAGCACCACATCCACATCCACATCCACATCCACATCTACTGCCAAATTCCTATGTCTCTCTCCCCCACAATCCTTATATTCTTTTTGCCCTAAAAAACAAAACAAAAAAAAAAACTAAAAATTAATAAAATAATTCGAAGAACCTCTCCCTCTCCCCAATCCCTAAGTTATCCTTAATACAATCTCTCTACCTCCCCAATTCTCTCTCTCCCCCTGTCTCTCTCTGTGTAAGGGTGGCAACAGATTGGGCCAGCTTTGGCTCAAGCCCGATTCTTATCCTCATAGGGATGGCTCGGATCAAAAACAAATGAAAAAAATAACAGAAAAAATATATAAAAAAGCAGGCCCGGCCGGCACTGATACTTGCATGGCCATCGGAGCACAGTTTATGGCTCAAGCCCTGCCTTTTTAGGGTAAGGCCAGGCCGCCTAGGCCATTGCCGTCCCTAGCTCTGTGTCCTTCTACCCCTGATATATGCACCTTTTAAAATAGAATAACACGCCTAACCGTGTCTTTTCCTTCGTATTTCACTCATGGTCTCCACCAATACAAATCTCTCTCTCACACTCTCTCTTTTTATAGACTCGATTTTTTAGGATAAAAAAGAAAAAAATTGTAATGTATAAGTAGGGTCAGGTGCACTTTAAAAATCCATCGAAAAATAGTATTTTAAAGTTAAAAACCCTCCAATTAATTATCCCGCTTTCAAAGAATATGAATAAAAAAGTATTTCAAGTTATAAAACTAATACATTTTATAACAATTAGACCGTCTATTCTTAAGATTTTTAAATATTATAGATATGCAATCGTTTTCAAAATGGAAAAAGTTTATATAATGGTAGGATCCTAAACAATAAAATTAAGGTGCATTTCAAAAATTCACTATAATAGGTTGTTTTAATGCCCAAAAATCTTCAAATCGATCATCTTGACCTCATGATGTATGGACATGAGAAAATTTTGATTTTAAATCTTGGAAATAGTGAATCTTGTGATGTGTTTTTTGGATTGTCAATTTTCAAGATTTTTAAATGTTCATAGATCAGCTCGATCTACACTATTTCTTAATATTTAAATTTTATGGTTAGAGATGAAATAAATTTCTAAGTCATCACAAACTTTTATAGTACAAAAACAATAATTTTTGATACTATTTGAAGGTGTGCCCTATTTTGATTGTTTAGGGCTTTAGCCTTACACCCCATTTGAGATTTGCTAAAAGATATTATACTTCCTCCAGAGTATATTCTCCATTTACTACTTTTGGTAAAACCCCACCTAGGATTAGTTTTAGGACTCCAAATTTACATATGTAACCTCTTTCTAACCTATAGATTAAACTCGATAAAAAGATTTCCTAATTCCACCCTCCAAGTACTTGAAAACAAGATTGAAGTGAGACTGCCTAACTCTAAGAGGGTGAGATCTACGTGTTATAAAAACTCACATTTCATTTTTTATTTTATTTTTTTGTTTGTTTTGAGAATAGGGCAAGCTTTTTATGCTTCCCCTACTACATAAAACTTATATGCTTCCTTTTATCCAACTATCCATTTTGAATGGACGACTGAGATTGGCCTAATCACAATGTCATGTCTCTACACTACTTTACTTTTACTTTGTTTTTACGAACTATTTTGACACAAAAATTTGGGTGTCCACTCCTCTCTTAAAGCCGCAACTATAAAAAATATATATAAAAATAATATTCTCAATAAAATAAAATGACCAAATTTTGAAAGATTTAAAGGGTATTTTGGTCATTATGTTTTATCAATAAATTGTTTTTAACAATTTTTAAAGGTGCACCCAATTGAGATGATGGAATGTACTATATTCATATAATTTTCAGAAAAAAAAACTAAAAATAAAATACTCTGAGGCGTCGGATCTAGATGAAACCATCAGTGGCTCACTTAATCTAAATTGAACGGCTGGATGGGGAAGCATATATCTTCTTCGCAGTAGGAGAAGTATAGAAACGTGCCCCTTAAGAATAATAATCTAGTTATTATAAGGTAGTAACCAAAATTTTAGATTGAAAAAACCCTTCCAAGTAGGGTCATATGACCAAGCGAGTAGAAGACCAAGGGAGAATAGTATACGTACTCTTCAAACTTATAAATTGAACAATTGATTCATGCACGCTAGACCGTATTTCTACAATATGTGGTCCAGAGGTATAAGGCATCCATCCTAAAGATGTATGCAAATAGGTTGTTCATCGAAAAGCAATTGTGACTAATGGTCTAAATTTTTTTTTAATATAATTATTATTTTTAGTTTTCAACTCTTATTATTATTTATATCCATGATCTCCATGTTAAAGATTAGGGAAATTATTAGAAATATATCTTAATTTTCTCTTAATTGAAAGAAAAAAAAACATCAACTTTTATAAACCTCATCCACGTCTTTTTTCTTCAATTTTGACATTTTTTAGCAAAATAACATTCGCAGTAGTCGAATTACCGTAATGACTACCGTATTACAGTACTTTTAAGTTCTGTAATGACTAGGCCAAGCATTTCAGTATTTTAAGTACTGTAATGGTCAGGCTAAGAATTACGGTACTTTAAATATTATATTGCTTAAATTTTCAGTTGATTTTCAGTGATGTTTCAAGACTTACGGTCTTTTAAGTACCGTAATGACCAAGTCGAGCATTGCGGTACTTTAACGATTATAATGCTCAAATTTCGAGGCATTAGGTACATTAAAGACATAAATACACCGTAATGCTCAAATTTTAAATTGGTTGAAATGCTACAAAGCACTCTTGAAACTTGCTAGAAAAAAAAAATGGGAAAAGATTTATTGCCTCAAAGGCAAAAGTCTGATGAGATGTGACAAATGAGGAAGAAAGACACCCAGTGAGCATTATTATCTTTAAAGTACTGTAATGCTTGGCCTGGTCAATATGGTATTTAAATACTGCAATGTTTGATCTGGTCATTATGGTATTTAAAGTACCGTAACACGGTAGTCATTATAGTAATACGACTATTGTGAAAGTTGTTTTAGAAAAAAAAATGTCAAAATTGAAAAAAAAAAGTGCGGACAAAATTTATGAAAGTTAAAAGTTGTTTTACAATTAGACAAAAGTAAAGTATATTTCTCATAATTTTTCTAAATATTATATATACTCTAAAAATTAAGATCAAATTATATTTAAAATATTTTTTTGTTGCCAAGCCCGCATTCTACAATATGCGGGCTGGCCGCATGCTAACCGCGACCTTATAAATTTCATGACTTAAGTAAGAGTAAAATAGATTTTCAAGCGTCGTGAGATTTCGTACGCCGCTTTTCGCGACAAAATTTATACTAATTTAGAGGTCCGCCTGCTTCTTCAGCCAAAGGCCAGTAGCTTATATAAACCGCACCCACACAAAAAGCACCGGTTTTCTCTCTCTCTTCTTTCTCTCTCTAAATTGTTCAAGTCGTTCCATGTACGTGAAGATGATCTTCTTCTCCAGATAAATTTAGAGTCATTTCCTCAATCTGCATTATTGGTTTTCGAGCCTCTTCTTTTTGGTCAGTCTCTGTTTTTCCATTTTTCATTCGAAAAGGGGTTAAGGTCTTAAGTCCCTTCGATGTTTTAGAGAGAGAGAGAGAGAGAGAAGAGAGAGAATGAAGGATTTCCCTGGAACACCGGGAACCCTTACTGGTCTCATGCTTCGGGTTGGTCAATTTACATTTGCTGCTGCCTCCATTGCTTTCGTGGCCACTGGCGTTCGATTCCAAGAATTTACAGCTTTCTGGTATCAACAGCCCACCTCTTCTTTCTCTCTCTACTTTACTCTCTCTCTCTCTCCACAACCCACCTCTTCTTTCCCTCTTTACTGTCTCTCTTCTTTTTTTGCTTTTTTTTTTTTTGAATTTGCATTACTCTTTTCTATTATAGTTTGGGTTTATATGATACTCTTTTGATTTGAAACCAATGACTCTGGATGAAGTGATTGATTCACATAGATCAGATGTCTAGACCTTCTCAACTCATCTGTTAATCTGTTATTGTGATCTCTTTTTTTTGTGAATTCATTTGAGATAATATCTTTGTTGTGTTTGAATTATTGTTATTATTTTGGTGTTTCCCTTTGGCAATTCTATTTATTAAATATCCAATTCCCACTTTCGTTGAATTGAGAACCCATTTTGTGATTTTGCATAGTTTGATGCTTGATTTTATTGTGTTACCCATGGATGTTAAGCCATCAAGCAAAAGGACCCAATTTCTGAATTAGGATAATCTCGAACCATTTACTGAAAATGACTGTGCCTTGTTCTGTTTGGTGGGCGATATGGCAAGAAAATATGATGTTTTACACAGCTTCATGACAAATATAACATGAATTCAGTTGGATATATAATCACCATCCCCATTTCTGTGAAGTCTTTTTATGTTATCTGATTTTTATTTTCTCCACCATCATATGGAAGTTGATATTTGAGATTGACTAATTCCTTACAAATGTTTTATAACAGCAAGAACCAAATGAAAAATGCCTTGTGCGCAAGGTGTCTAACATCACCTTGTCAAGTCATGCTGTTATGATGACCTTAAGGGCAGGTTATATGATCCTGTGTGGGAAATTTGTGCCATAGATTAAAGGACGTTGTTTGGCCGCAAAGATAAGTCTTTCTCTTGGGAGAATTCATATACCAGGGAAAAATTTAAGGGACCTAGTCTATGATGCCATACTAATGCAAAGATGGAGTGGGAATGAGATCAGGTAGTAAATCTGGTGAATGACGAAATTGTACTATGCCCATGGCTTGTGTGTTTATGTATCATTTTACCAATTTTGGGTATCACCTGAAGAGCAATTTGGTCTCCTAGTGTATTTTCTCTTTGCTTGGAGTTATTGGGGTGGAAATACAATTTGAGTTAGACAAATTCAGAGTATGCCTTGCCGCATGATGTTGGTGTTAAATTATGAGGCCATCAGCTTGATTGCGCAAGGGAACCGTCAGAATTTTACTCAGGCTGTATGGGACCCTGCCTGTAGTCCTGTAAATGGCATTAGGATTGTTTTGATAGCAAGCTTTTTTGGTATTTCATATGAAAATGGGCTCTTTTCTAGTGGAATGCGAGTTGAGGAGGGGATTATTGGCTTGAAAAGTATAATATAAATCATCATTATTGGATAGTTAAACATTATCTGAAGACTCAGGATACAGCTCACAAATGACCTCCATGACTGGATTAGGACAATGGAAAGGAATTCCAAAGGATAGAGACCTTCTGTAACACCTTGACCTTGCAAGAAAGTTATCTATTGGGCTAGCCTTCCCTTACAATCTGTCTATTTAATTAAAGACCCCCTGGGAAACATGGAGGTCGAGAATCTCTTAAACCAGATTCCTGATTCTCCATGGTAAAAGTCTCATGTCAATTCCATATTCCCACCAGATTACATTGATAACATCGTCTTCCACCACTACTTGAGAAGAGCCATGGTCTCATGCAACCATTCTCTGTAATGATATAAGACATAATTTACATTCAATTACACTTCAAACTCCATAGCAATAAAAATTCCTTATAAAATAAATTACACGCTTCAAACTCCATTGCATGAGATGTCTTAGAGCCATAAAATATAGGAATATAAGATTAAAAGTGAAATTGAGATAATTTATATGTGGCATAAATTTCTCAATCGTTGTGTTTAACAAATTAACCATTTCAAAAGAAAAAAATGTGGTGTGAATCAAGTCCGACATGTATATACAATACATTGTCTACATTCATTTTATTCAGATGGATCAATGGCAAGGCAAGAAGGGATAGAACTTGAAACGAATAAATTCAAGAGACTTTAGGTGTGGCTCCAATAGGCGATAAGGTGAGAGGAAGTAGAGTTAGGTGGGCTAGCATGTGCAACGCAGGCTCAATATGGCAGCTGTTAGGAGGTGCGAGTTGGTTCAAGTAGAAGGCTCAAATAGGATAAGGGGTAGGCCCAAACAGATATGGTTGGAAGTAGTGAAAAAAGATATGGGGGCTTATGGCCTTATTGCGGGTATGGCCCTTGATAGTGCAAACTGGCAGATCAGGATCCGTGTAGCCGACCCCAAATATTTGGAAAAAATATCTAATGATGATGATATCTGCATTCAATTTGTGTTGATGAAGGACCTTGAGTTGATCAGATAGGCTTTTAGCTCTTTTTATTGGTTAGATCTTTTAACCTGTTGAGACACGGCTAGCCATTATTGCAGCATTGAAGGAAGAAGTCGGAGACAGAGTTTCATACTTTTTGCTTGAGAAGCTTGAGCATAAAACGAATGGAATACATTCCATTGGCGATAGGAAATTTGAATGATTGGCTAGATCATTAAGGGTGAAAGTAGAGTTTCAAACTCTCTGGAATTAGGTTGTTGGAGTTCAACTAGAAGAAATCCCATATTAGGTTGAGGGCATAGTATATGGGATTCGTTTAATGGATTGATTATCTCATGGCTACTCATCGTTTGAGCTACCAGTTCTCTCTGATGTAGAAAATTTGATTCTTCATCTTCTAATATAGTAAATCAAGAAAGCAAGAGCTGATAAATGCAAGGTTCAAAAAAATGGATTGGTGACCCGGATCGGCCCCCCAAAAACTGGTTCGAATCGATGGATCGGCAATCCAGATAGGAGAATCAGCCGGTTTTGGCCCCAAAAAAATTTCAAAACCTTAAAAATAGTGTTTTTTGAATTTCCAAAAAAATTGGGGACAGTGCATTATGTACTTTCATTATTTTACAAAAATTCGTGAATAGTGAGATGCAGTTTCCTTGTCTGGATGTCTGTTGACCATAATATTCATATCACTAGAAAAAAAACAATCTTATAATCATCATGGATATGAATATATGGTCTAAAGTGAAGCATACAACAATTGAAATACAACCTAATACCAAAATAAAAGACAACACAGTTCTTCCTTGTTATCATGTTAGTGCCACTCATTTAAATGTCTCAATAATTCATTTAGTCGTTCTATGTACGCCTCAGAATTTTCTGAACATAATACAAATCATAGTCGTGGTTTGCATCTTTGAACGATTCTCTCAAGATTCCTTTTGAATGATTCTTTCAAGAGCATCATACATGAGCTTGCCATCCGCCAAAAATTTTAGATACCCATCATTGGTTGGCTCCCACTTTCCAATTGATTGAACGTCTAGTTCTTTTTCCCCTTCTTTTGCAACATCTCTGGTGTGAAGTTTCATGGCTACAAACCTCATTTCCTCGACCCTTAAGTTCACAAGGATACTTTTTGTTGGGTTTCTCAGCTGTTGTTGCAGCAACTGTGATAAACGTAAATGGGACCTTATCATGGTCTGAAGACCGCATTACCAAATATTTTCCATAGTAAGAAGAAGTGGGTTTAATTTTGGGAACCGAGTTTCTCACCCTAGAACTGAGGGCATGTGGGTGCTAGAGAGAGAACCACTTTGAAACTCGTTATTGAGGAGTCAAGGCCATGAAGGACCAGATGGATATCATTGGAGTGATTCATAAACGGTGGTAACTTGGCAGGGAGGCCATAACAGAGGAGTTAGAGACGGTTGTGGTTTGTATCTTTGACAGGTGAAAGCATAAAGGGAGGTTTGTCCCACATCGAAAAAGTTTGAAACTTATGGGGGGGCTTACACAAATATAAAAGTGGCCAGAGGGGCAAAGGCAACGTGCAGGCCAAGCGTTTGTGGCTGCGCAATAGGATGGAAAGGAGTGACCCACCTCTCCTTAAATTAAAAAAAATTTCAAAGAAGAAACTTGGAGAAGAATAAAAAAATAAAAGGCATGGCAGTTGTCCGGTTCACCCAAACTGAATTGCCGGTTTTCTGACAGAACTGACCGGTTCTTGATAGTTTGCAAGATCTAGATTGGCCTGGCCGATTCCCGTTCCTGATTACCTATTTTTAAAACCTTGGATAAATGAATAGGAGCAATGAAAGAAAATGGAGAATAAAAGATAGGCAACTAAATAAGAAGCAACTCTTTGCTAGTTTCCTATTTAATTGGTTTTTTTTAGAAGTTTTTTGCTACCAGCTCCTGCTGTGGTTGAGCAGGGAAAAGAAAAGAAAGAAAAAGAGCTTTTGGGCCAAAACTATCATGGTTTTCTTGGCATAACTAGTAGGTTGCGTAACATGATTAGCTTGTTTCTTCCTATTTATGTTTAGTGGATCAAAATTAGAAGTGTTTGAGAGATAAAGCGAAGGATTGATCTGAAGTGAAAGATTAAGGGGTTTCATTATGACATAGATGTGTTGTAGTTGCTGACATTATTATTGCAATAGTGATCAGTGTGTACAACAGACGAATAATCACGTAACTACCAACATTATGATGGAGAGACTCTAACACATCTAAAATTGTTTTGGATTGGTGACAGTTGACATGAAAATCTCAATCATGTCAATACACTGACAAAATTGTGAGCTAACAAATATGAATGAGATATAAAAACAATATGATATATGATAACATAAATAAGGTAACTTTCATAAAACAGAAAAATTCTGAAAAACTGGATGTAAATCACGGGACTATTTCTTAAAATGACTGACAATTATACCTTATATTGGGTATCATTGTCACATGGGATGAGAATAAGCTTTGCGGAGTTAATTTTAGATTAACTATTCATTTCAATCCTTGAATGATGGTTTTTAAGTGAATGACCGAGTTGGTTTTTGGATAGAGCAATTCGTTGTTAGGGAGAGACCTTGGGTGCATGGAGTGTGGAAGGAACTTGTGGTGCATGTCGAGTTTGTGCTAAATTATGAGGAGCATTGAAAGATGAGTTTATATGAAGGGCAGACTTACCCTTTGGATGCTAGTTCATGCGTCAGTCAAATTCAATAAACTTATGGCTAGTTTGATAGGTCAGCAATTTTGTCAGGATGTGAGTTTCATTTTATTGGAGTTCCTGCACAAGTCCTCTTGAGACCCGCTATAGATACTATTGCAAGAGAGAGAGAGAGAGAGAGAGAGAATGGGTTTAGAGGTAAAAAAATGGGTTGTCAAGAGAAAAGAATGTTCTCTAAGAAAGTTTTCTGGATCGTACCAAAAATTTTCCTTGTAAATTGTAAATTCAGCTCTATCTTCCAAGAGTTTAGAGCTTAAATTGTTAAGAATTTCTCCTAGGACCTTCTGAAGATATTTTAGACCCAATATACAAAACACATGATAAGAAAGGATCAAATTGAGTGAATCATAGAAGCATAACAAACTATGATATCCTTCATAGTGAAAAATCAATTATAATATAAAAAATGGAGGAAATAACATTCAAACACCATGAGAAATCCCATAATATCATAGATACAGAGAAGATTGTCATGAGAAAACATATAGATGCTACATGCAAAGGTCAAAAACCATTCAACAGGCTCTCCATTTGCTAACATTTCAGATCCCAAATGCCCCCAAGCTCTTCTCTAGTGCTAAAAAAAGCTTCGAATTCACAAGGTTTCATGTACTACCTCCTTGACCTCTGCAATCTTTGTTATCACCAGTTTTGGCCAATGCACTTGACCTTGTCGTTCATGGCGGGTCTCAGTTTTATCATTAAAGGGAATATCCTTCTAAATTGGTTTATGTTTTTTTCAAACACTCGACACACATATTAGAATAATAATAATAATAATAATAATAATAATAATAAAATATAATTAGTTAAGGGTCTTAAAATATTTTCATCCCCATAGATATTCATCAAGTTTGTGAAAGAAAAAAAAATTCATCACATGTCTCATTTGTCCACAAGCTTCTATGTTGTGTTATATGAAAAATCTAGAAAAATCTATTAAAAATAATATTCATGAGGTAACTCCCAAATTTTCGCATTGTTAAAGAAATGAATGGGTTCATGTACGAGCATTTATACCATCGCCATGTCTATATGTGTTACAGGCATTCATGGTTAATACTAAGCAATGTTAATACACTTGGCTTGGGCCTTGGACTCGGTCCTTGCCCGAGCCGAGTAACTCAGCCAAGTACAAGACAGAGTGGACTAGGCATGTACATGACCCAAAAAACCCTTAAAAAAAAAAAGAAAAAAGATTTTAAAAAGTGCTAATAACTAAAAGAAAAACTTTAAACTTGAAACAAAACTAAAAACTACATATAAAGAATCCAAATATGCTGAAAAGAAAATAACTATTGGATCTAGAAAATTTGATTTAGGGTTGGAGATTCTAGAAAAATCCAAAAAAAAAAAGTAGGACATTTGACAATAAAAATTCACCAACCATAGTAAAAAAACTTATCCAAATTACTTATACATAAATTGATCCGACATGTTTATATAATTCTTGTGTTTTTTTTGTTCTTTATTGTACCCTTGTTTTACCCTGGAACGAAGTAAGGCCAAAATCTGATAGAACCAATGCCATGAACTAGAAAGAATAATTAATAGATGCAGAATTCCTGAAACCATCAAATGCAGACAGTCCAAAAGAGGGGTCAGGAAAGACAAGAGAAATGGCTACAGAGATGGAGAGAGAAACCTGAAGTGAGAGAAGAGGGAGTTCCTTGCGTGTGTCTCTCTCCTGCTTCCAGAGAAGCATAGAAACTGTTAATGATTCAATCTATAAATGTATGTATCGAAATTTCTTCAAATCATGGTAAAAAACACTGTAGAAGTTCAACTAATTCAAACCAATCTTCACATCACTAGGAGTTTCTTGGAATGCTTAAGAGCAAGTGGCAAGTAGCCCTTGCTCATGGACAAGAAAAATCCATTGAAATGAGAAAGTCCCACAATTGAAAATCATTTCATTGGACTCAACTAGCAAATAGTATTCCAAAAAAAATTTTAAAATAAGAATCAGCATTACAGGATCATTGGAGCTATGAAAGCCCTAAATAATAATAAATAACAATAATACCATACCTGAATCTTGATATGCTTGAAATTTGATGTACTGGTTTGGTCGGTCCATCTCTCTTAAAGAAACCCCAAACCTTCAATCATTAAACCCTAGACCTTCATCAACAAACCCTGTCTTCAATAAAGTAGGACTTTAATGGTCACATAGAGTGAGAGTGTGAGGGGTGAGAGGAAGAGAGCCTCATAGAGAAACCTAGAGGCTCCTTAGAGCGAGAGTGAGCAAGAGAGGGAGTTGAGAAAGAGGGAACCGAAAAGATTGGGCCGTTCTGGCGAGAAAATGCGTGAGTGAGATAGAGAGAGGAATCCCAAAAGATTGGGGCCTTTGAGAGAGAAACTGGTATATGGAGAGAGGGCTAAACCGGGGAAGCTGATTAACATACCAGATTTTGGAGTTTTGGAATCGTTAAAAATAATGGGGTTTCAGAGCTCATCCAAAATTTGGGGTTTTTGTGCCAAATCGATTTCGCTATTTGGAGCTTCTGCTGATCGTATATCCTCCAATTTTTTACAGCTCTTGTATCCTCCAATTTTTGGGAGCAAATCTTATATCCTCCAATTTTTTAGGATATTGTCCCAATATTTTCAACGATTCCAGTGGGATTTTCAGTGGGATTTTCTTGTCCATGAAAAAGGGCTACTTGCCACTTGCCACTTGCTCTTAAGCGTTCCAAGAAAAAATTGAAGCTACTAGTGATGTGAAGATTGGTTTCGATTAGTTGAACTTCTACACAAGGATATTCCCTTTAATGATAAAACTGAGACCCACCATGAACAACGAGGTTAGGTGCATTGGCCGAAAACTGGTGATAACAGAGATGGCAGAGGTCAAGGAGGTAGGAAATGAAACCTTGTGAGATCGAAGCTGTTTTTAGCACTAGAGAAGAGCTTGGGGGAATTTGGGATCTGATTTGTTAACAAATGGAGAGCCTGGCATTGTCTGAATTTGTCTAACTCAAATTGTATTTCCACCCCAATAGCTCCAATCAAAGAGCAAATACACTGGGAGACCAAATTGCACTTCAGGTGAATGGAGAGCCTGTTGGATGGTTTCTGATCTTTCCATGTTGCATCTCTATGTTTTCTCACGACAATCTTATCTGTATTTGTGATATTATGGGATTTCTCATGGTGTTTGAATGTTATTTGCTCCATTTTTGATATTATAATTAATTTTTCACTATGAAGGACATCATAGTTTGTTATGCTTTTATGATTCACTTGATTTGATCCTTCCTTGTCATGTGTTTTGTATATTAAAATATCTTTAGAAGGTCCTAGGAGAAATTCTCAATCAACAATTTATGCGCTTAACTCTTGGACTATAAAGCTGAATTTACAATTTACAAGGAAAAGCTTTAGTATGATCCAGAAAAATTTCTTAGAGAATGTTCTTTTTCTCGACAACCCATTTTATAGCACCTCTCTCTCTCTCTCTCTCTCTCTCTCTCTCTCTACTACTATACTATACGTACTTACGTACGTACGTACGTAGTTACGTAGTACGTATAGTACGTTAGTTACGTTAGTAACGTTACGTCGTTACGT